GTAAACGGACAGCTATACCAGGCTGAGGCAAACATACATATGGCCGCGCTGGTAAACAAAGCTAGATCAATCCAGGTTTAGACATGTTACGTTATGATCAGTTGGGCTGGTTGAACCACACGCCGAGACATATGAAGGAACGGCATGCTAGGATACGGGAAGCTTGGTTAACACATGCAGCTGGAGGTAGAGCTGAGCGAACTTGGACCGAGGCTAAGGTAGGCTTTACCACTACCAGGCGTGGCGAAAATGTTTTAAACTAAGCACGCCTGAATCGACATCAACGCTGAATGTCAAGGTGAGCAGCAGGCCGATATGAGCACGGACCTCTATTTCTCAGTCTCTTTTTATCCGTAAGGGCTTCCATCCCTTCCGCCGGCCCCCCTTTCTATCATAATGGGATGTATGAGAGTCGCATCGGTGCGTCTCGGCGCTGCCTTGGCGCATCTAGGAACATAATGCGGGGGCGGAGAGGAATCATCAGCGCATATTGAGGCGTTGGCGTTATCCTAGTGGCCTTCGGCCCATCCCGCTAGCGTGCCTGGGTTGTGGGTCTGAGGCCTCCTGTGTACGTGTTGGGGTGTCGTGGGGAGCCTCTCGGGTGCCTCTTGGAGGCGATTTGGGCGCCTCTTGGGGGCCTCTTGGGTGGGGGATCTTTTGGGCCTCTTGGAGGCCTCTTGGGCGCGTGTTGGGCGTTTTTTCTGGTTTTTTGGGGCCTCTTGGCGGCCTCTTAGGGCCTCCTGGGGGCTTTCGGGGCACAGATATCGAATGTTCGGGCCGTGGTCCTCTGCTTGGGCCCCTCCTGGGGCCGTCTTGGGGCCCTCTTGGGCCTTCTTGAGCGCTTCTTGGGCCATCTTGGAGACCTCTTGGGCCGTCTTGGGGCCCTCTTGGAGGCGTCTTGGGCTGTCTTGGGGCGGTCTTGGGAGCTTCGTGAGCCGTCTTGGAGCGTCTGAAAGCCGAAAATGCGAGAAGGCCAACATCCTGTAAACACTTTCCCAAAACATCTACGATTTTGGCCTCTTGGGGCTCTCTCGGGAGGCCTCTTAGAGCGCTCTTGGGGCCTCTTTGGGCCCTCTGGGGCCGTCTTGGAACCATCGTCGGGCGCCTTGGAGCACTCTTGGGCTCATCAATGCGACCATGGTGTAATTTGCAAAGGTTTATGGTTTCGGGGACGCGAATATTGCGTAGTTTACGAGGATGTGGTGCCTCGGGGACGCAACAATTGTGTAATGTACGAGGGTTTGTGGCATGGGGACGCGAAGATTGTGTAAATTACCAAAATGTGAATAGCCTCGGGGACGCGACCATTGTGTAGTTTTCGAAGGACTATGGCCTCGGGGGCGGAACCTGTCGTATTTTTACGTCTCCCACGCCTCCCTGGGAATTCAGGCAACGCGATCTGGGGGTGGTAGCCGGGCGGTTTGGGGCTCTGACCCCTCGCGCGGATTTAAACAATTTACAGTAGGAAGCAGAAAACAGGACTGTAACATTGGATACTTAAACTGCATCTGGTGCAGGGAGCAGCAACTTCATCCTACAGCCTGGTGGCCCTTAAGAGGGCCGGCGGATTCGTTCTCACTCTCGGTGTCTCTGGATATTTTTACGTAGCACAGGCAGGTTCTTCATACAATGCAGCCAACGCTAGGATTGTTTCGGGCAGGTAGGATGGTCTAGGCTACGCTGAGCTGTGCGGAGCCAAGTTGCGACCATCATGTGCACCCCGTAGTCAACATGCAGCAGTGGCCGCAGTCGTCATCTCGCATCACTGGCCGCCGCTGGGTTCAGGTTTTTCTTTGTAGCAGAGAACGAGCACTCCTGTTAACAAGCAGTGACGGCATGTTTCGACGGGCGGGCGATGCGGTAGCAAGAAAGCGACGTCAGTGGTGTGGTGGCTCTTTCCTGCCGTTCGCTGGGAGCCCTCAACTGGTGACTGCCCGGTCGCCACGAGCTAGGCGGCGTTCTACCCGACGCTCTTGCAGAGCGGCCTTCAGCAGAAGCCGGATCTCGAAGGCTCCCTAGTTTGTCTCAGTCTTTGTCGTGTGTCTACAGGCTAGGCCGTGTGCGTGGTGCCTCTTCTCACGAGCTGTCGAAGCACTTGCTGGGCGCCGTCAGATCGCTACGAACATCCGTCTCTCTCTCTCTCTCTCGCTCTTTCTTTCTCGCGCACGCACAGGCGTATTTTTTGCATTCACAACTGTGTGTGCATTCTCGTTTGCATGTTCGCGCGCGCGCGTACATGCACCAGGTCTCTCTGCTGAAAGGGTTCTCAGCCATGTCGTGCATTCAGCTTAATGCGCGTGTGATTAGATCCATAAATTGCGTTTGGCCCAGAGAATGGTGTTCTTTGAGACGTCACCTTGAGAAGAGTGCTGTTCGGCAGGCCGAGTGCTGTTCGGCAGGCCTGCGTGGTTTTCTACGTTTCTTGGGTTCTCCCGAAGAGCTCTCAATCGTCTTCCGCAGTTCTCTTCGACGTCATGCTAGCCCGGAGTTATCTGTATTTTCGGTGCCATGGTGCCAGCCCGTGTAACCCAATCAGTGAATATCGGAGATGCCTGCGGCGAACCACCGCCGCTGCCTGCCAGTTGGAAGCGCCTATGTGGCCAAATGTTGGGTCAAAGCATGGCCAAACTATTGGAATCTGTGTTTCCCCAGGAGTTGTGGAGCACTTCGGGAGAGAGCTTCGGGGAGGGAAGGGGGGGGAGTAGCTGGAGAGTGATGAGACGTTGGGGAGGAAGCCTCTTGGGGGCCTCTTGGGGTCTCCCTGGGACCTTTCGGAACTTTTGGAGGGCTCGTTTGGCCATCTGGTGCATCCTCGGCCCGACCTGGGTGCCCCTCTCCTGGTCCACCCTGGTCCCTGGTACCGGGCCCAGGTGTCTCTGGCCGCGCTGTCCCCGCGCCCAGCATGCTGTCTCCCGTATGCCCTCTGCTCCTTGCCCTTCGGTTTTTTTTTTGTGCCCCACTGGACGCTCAGTTTTTATCTTGAGCTGTGCGGGCCTTTGGCCCTCCTGGTCTGCCACGCTGCGCCCTCGCGCAGCATTCTACTCGTCCCTGCTTCCCTCCTCCCCCCTCCCTCTCTTCGCCCCCTTCCCCTCCGCCGGCGCCGCCATGGCGACGGCGGTTCTGCCGGTCTTCTGGCCGCAGCCGTCGTCATCTTCCTGCCCCCCTACCTCGGTGGCTGGTCATTTTGTCCCTGACCTGGTCCGTCGTGGCTTGCGTGCTCTTGACTCGGGGCACCCTTTTCGCTGACCGTAGCCCTCGTTCGTATCCTGGTCCCGCCTTCCTGGGCCAGCCTGGTTTTGGCTCGTTCGCCACGACCTTGCAACCCAGGTTCGCCCTCATCCTTGCCGTGTTCCTACGGCCCTCTCCGGCGGATCCGCCTCTCCGGACACTCCAGCACTGGGACCTCTAGCACCGGCTGCTCCTTTCGGCACGCACGCCCCGTCCTACATGGTCCGAGTGTGGCTTCCCGCCTCCAGCCTCCCTGGCCGCCCCGCGCCCCGCGCTTCCCTTCCTGGTGCCGCTTTCGGCCTGGCGCGCCCTGCCGCCGCTCGACCGCCGCCTGCCCCCGTTTGCGGCCGCCGACTAATTATCCTGGCGAAAGACCCAACCATATGCAGTTGTGAATACCGTAATTGTGAATACCATCTTCGCCCGCGCTCCCTATGTGGCCACGGCTTCCCACCGGAGCCCGACATGCTCAGGTACACGTTCGTGGCCGTCTTCGCTGGCGCCGGCGACGACAAGGACGGCGTCCCTCTCACCGAGGAGCAGAAGCAGGAAAGGGCCTTGAGAGCCATGAGGGAGGAGGTGGCGTTGCACGTCGACAAGGCGGAGTACGACGCCCAGGCGCGGTTGTTGAAGCAGCACAACTATGGGGCCACGATCCTCGTGAGGGGTGTGCCGAAATGGTTCGGGGCCGCCATGCGAACCCTGCCATTGGCGCCTTCGGTGGAGCTCCACTGGGGCCACGGTCCTCGTGAGGGGTGCGCCGAAATGGCCCGAGGCCGCCGTGCGAACCCTGCCACTGGGGCCTTCGGTGGAGCTCCCTATGGCGCCACGATCCTCGTGAGGGGTGTGCCGAAATGGCCCGAGGCCGCCATGCGAACCCTGCCACTGGCGCCTTCGGTGGAGCTCCCTATGGGGCCATGATCCTCGTGAGGGGTGTGCCGAAATGGCCCGAGGCCGCCATGCGACCCCTGCCATTGGCGCCTTCAGTGGAGCTCCCTATGGGGCCACGATCCTCGTGAGGGGTGTGCCGAAATGGCCCGAGGGCGCCATGCGAACCCTGCCACTGGGGGCCTTCGGTGGAGCTCCCTATGGGGCCACGATCCTCGAGAGGGGTGTGCCGAAATGGCCCGAGGCCGCCATGCGAACCCTGCCACTGGGGGCAGTCGGTGCCCTATGGGGCCACGATCCTCGTGAGGGGTGTGCCGAAATGGCCCGAGGCCGCCATCCGAACCCTGCCACGAGGGCCTTCGGTGGAATTCCCTATGGGGCCGCGATCCTCGTGAGGGGTGTGCCGAAATGGCCCGAGGCCGCCATGCGACCCCTGCCATTGGCGCCTTCGGTGGAGCTCCCTTTTATGGGTCCACGATCGTCGTGAGGGGTGTGCCGTCGGAAGATCGAAAAGAAACAACTGGCCAAAGTCCTTCAATAACCTACGGAAAATCAATGGTTTTGGCCTCTTCGGGCCTTCCTCTGGAGGCCCTCTTGGGGGCCTCTGGGGCCGTCTTGGAGACCTCTCGGGGGCTTCTTGGGCCATCTTGGGCCATCTTGGAGCCATCTTGGACCCTCTTCATGGCCTTTTGGCCCGTCAGACGCCGTCGGAAGCCGCCGTCTTGAGGCCCTCTTGGGGCCGTTTTGGGCGTCTGGAGGGTCTGAAGTGGCCGTGTTGGGCTATCGATGGGGTCTCGTGATGTCATCGCGTATCAGTCTTGGCCTCTCTCGCGCGCGCGCCGTCCCACCGGGCAAGCGAGGACGAGGACGAGGAGGCGGAGAAGATGAGAAGGAGGAGGTGAAGACAAGGAGGAAGAGGGGGAGGAGGAGGACGAGGAAGTGATCATGATGAGGATGAGGCGAACTACGGGTGAGGGGGAACGGAACGGATTATGATGATGGTGCTGATGATGGTGGTGATGATGACGACGATGAGTGTGATACTTTTTGATGGTGGTGATGATGTGGCTGATGATGGTGATGATGATGAATATGAAAATGATGATGCTGCTGATGATGATGGAGGTGGTGGTGGTGGTAGTGGTGGTGATGATCAATATGATGATGCTGATGGTGATTGTGATGCTGAATATTATGATGATCCATGATTCTGCTGCTGATGATGAGGATGAACACGGTGATTATGATTATGATGATAATGACGATGATGATGCTGCTGTTAATGATCATTCGGTTGATGATGATGATGATGATGCTGATGAGATGCTGATTCTGATGATGATGCTGATGGTGATGATGCTGATGATGATGCTGATGATGACGACGATAATTCGGATGTTGATGCTGATGAGGATGATGATGATGATGATGATGATGATGATGATGATGATGAGGATGCTGATGCTGTTGTTGATGATGGTGATGATGATGATGATGATGATGATGATGATGGTGATAATAGTGATGTCGATGGTGACGACGACGATACGGAGGAGGAGAATGTGGACGATGAGGGCGAGGACGGCCGTCCTTGGGTTTCTCTTGGGTCGTCTTGGGCCCTCTTGAATACGAGGATGAGGGAGTGACGGAGACGAGGAGGTGAAGAGAAGGAGGAGGAGGGGGAGGAGGAGGAGGGAGGAGGAGGAGAAGGCGAAGATGATGAGGATTAGGCGAACTATGTGATTGAGGGGGACGGGGATGAATTATGACGGTGAAAAGGGTGATGATGATGCTGAGGATGATGATGGTCATGATGATGATGAAGATGATGATGCAGATGATGATGAAAATGATGCTGATGGTAATTATCATGGTTACAATGCTGATGATGATGTTGGCGATGATTACGACGATGATTGTTTTACTGATGGTGATGGTGGTGGTGATGATGACGATGACGATGATCATTATGAGGATTGTGATTCTGATGATGCTGCTGATGCTGATGATTATGGTCATGATATTGATGCTGATTATTCTGCTGTCGGTGGTGACGGTGGCGATGGTTATGATGATGATGACGATGATGGTTTGACTGAGGATGACGGCGATGATGATGATGCTGGCGATGACGATAATGATGATGATGATGATGATGCTGATGACGATGATGATGATGATGATGATGATGATGATGATGATGATGATGCTGGCCATCATGGTTATGATGATGATATTGATCATGATGATGCTGATCAATGTTGATGGTGTGGATGATTATTATGATCGTATTTATTATTCGAATCATGTTGGTGCTGGTGGTGATGATGGTCATGGTGATGGTGATTGTGATGGTGATGGTGGTGACGGTGATGCAAGAAGGAGTGGCATGACAAGGATGAAGAGGAAGGCGAGAAAGGTTGTCACATGCGACGCACGGTTCGTTCCCAGTTGTTGAGGCGCTCTCGTGGAGTTCGCTTGGGCCGTGTCGGGGCTGCCCTAGACTTCTGTGGGGCAGTCTTCGATGGCCTCTGAGGCGTCATTGATACTTCTGGAGGCCCTCTTGGGCCAGCTTGAGGCTCTCTTGGGGCCGTCTTGGGCTTGGAGTCCTATTCCGTAGCCAGTCTTCCTTGTCAAGGCTTCCTTCACCGAGGATTCCCGAGAACAGGTGCCTTATTAAGAACTCCTTGGTGCAGATCGCCTTCCTAAAGGATTCCTGATGAAAGAGTCCTTGCTAAGGGCTCCGTAGTAAAAGGCCCCCTATTGAGGATTCCGGCGAAAAGGTTCCTTATGAAGCATTCTTTGGTGAAGGTTCCATACTGTGGATTTCTGAGTAAACAATCCTTACCAAGGGTCCCCTTATATATACATATATGTATATATACATTCCTTTC